CCTCTGCCGCCACTCCGAAGCCCCCAGCCATTCCCGGGCCCCTCCCCGGCGCTGCACAAGCGTCCAGCCCCGCTCGGACGAAGCCGAAGCCGAAGCCACCCACGAGGCCCCCTCCCCGTCTGTGCCCGGCCAGCGCTCCGCCGACACCGCCACAGAAGACGCGACACCGCACAAGTTTCCTTTTTGTTTATTAACACACAGCAAGCGTGACAGTAGATAACTTTTCTCTTTTTAAATACAGTACATGGGTCAGCACGTCGCCCTCACACAATTCCCCCCCTCACGAAGACAAGCCAGTGGTGGCGTTTTTATAAAAATAGTGTGTCGCTACAAAAGTATAAATTAATGCTACCGGTATTAAGAAATATTAAACACAGTAAAACTTATGAGGATTAAGAAAAATATTCATTAATACCTGTAGAAAACTCTGGCCTAAAAAATATTTTTTTGTATATACTTTTTAAACTTTTCTGTTATCTCTTCTTTAAGATGACATTTAGATTTCTGTAACTCTCCAAGGTAGCGAGATGCACGCTAGGAAGCATCTCCTCGTATTGCCAGGAACACCAAGCTATCCAACACAGGTGTCGCGCGCACACACGCATCATATCGCATCGCATCGCTGGTTTTCCCACATGCCGGCCGGGCCGGGCCTTGCCCTCCTGCGCCCCCCAATTCACAAGGGGGAAGGGGGGCAGCAGGCTGGCCGACTCTGTCGCCGGCTTTGGCTCCTGCTGGCGTTTGCAAGAGTTTTTACCTCCACATCACGGAAAGCATCAACGATGGGCGATGGGCATCTACTCTAGCGGAGTGGCTGAAGACCAAACCGCTTTTCTGTGAAGACAGCTGGCAGTTTGACAGACAGAGGAAGCTCTCAATAAACACCAAAGAGGTAGAAAAGGTGGGGAGGGGTCATCTGCCCAAGCTAGCATCGGACACATCTGCCGACCGGACCGGACCGGACCGCGTGGCTTGCACCGTCAGAACAAGGCCTTCCGTCCTCTTTTAACCCCTGCCCACAAGGAGAACTGCTTCGAGGCCTTTCCTCTCTCACCTAAGAAGTTTCTTCACCCTTCTGCTTGGCTCTCCCATCTCCCATGCTAAAGATGGCTGCAGCAGCTTCAGACCCCAAGTGACCGACTGCTGAGGTAAGCAGTCTCCCGCTCCTTGATCGCTTTGGTGCCCAAGCAATCAGCAAACACATTTCCATCTTAGGAATTGCGCATGCTTAGAAAACTCATCAGCCCGGCCCTAGTCGTCTGCCTAGGGGCGAGGGAAAGGGGGAAACGACTTCTCGGGGATCACTGCAACGATGCCACCCACCTGGCATCACCTCCGCTAAGTATTTCACGGTGATATGGAGTCACCAATTTTGAGAAGCACAGACGGGCACCCTCCTCCGGCTGTTCCGGGCACGAGAAGCGCCCCCCTCTTGCTCAGAAGGCGCTCCTCCAGTGGAGCGTGGCTTCTGAGGAGCAACTCCCAACTCAAGACAGATGGCACACAGAGAAACCCTGGGCCCAAGCCCCAGCGGGAGAAAAGAGACACGTCGGGAAGAGCCTGCCTCGGTGGCTGGTCAAGAACCAGGCGCACGTGAACCAGCGCGTGGGGGCCCCCCAAGCCGCTTCCCTGGGCATTCTGCTCCTCCATGACTGTCGGCCTCTTCCGCTACCGCTGGAAGCGGGGACCACCCCCTGGGAAGACGGACCACAGCTTCCTCACCGGTCGGAGGGGCTGGCAGCCCGCAACCACTCCCCAACCCCATTTCCAAACCAGCTTCGCAAAGGCAACGGGGAGCCAACTTCTGTCTACCCCTAGTGTCTCCCAGAACATCGCTCCAGATTCTGGGTTTGTCCCACCTTCCTCCTCAATATGCCACCCTGGGACACCCCGCGCAAGGTACGTCCAGATATTCTCCTGCTCTGACATTCCTGTTGCTTGTGAAGTCACACCCACACAATTGCTGTTCTAGCATGAAGACCTAGTTGTATTCTGTCCAGAACTCAAAAGAGAAGTGCGGCTTCCGTGTGCGTCTGACTGCCACACACACCCCCCCCCCGTTCTCTTCTCTCCCACTGCATCCCCGGAGTCTCAGAATTAATTGTAGAGGTGACAGGGCCTGTCCATGCCCCAAACACAGTGGCACCTGTGAGCAAGGCTCCATGCATTTCATTCTCTTGCGTGTGCATTTAACTAAAAAATTTTTTTTAAAAACTCAGAATTCTGGAATTTTAAAAAGATTCAGTATGGAGTTCTCCTATCGTCATTTTGATTGCGATAGGCCTGCGTTTCATAACAATGAAAACTTGTAATAACCAGATCCATGAGAACACTTAAGGTGGATTTAACATGTTAAGCAATTGCTCTTGGAGATTAAGTTTCAAATTTCCTGCTTAAAGTTAATTACTGCTTTAGAAACCTTTTACTTCCTCTGGATCAGTGCTGTCACATGGATAGAAAAGAATGTATTTTATATATATATATCTCGCACACGCACACTCACACACACGGATTTACAGGTAGATTACCCACAGGCAGGAGCAAGGTATGCCACTATCTCAAAATGGTAAAGTTCTAATAATAGGAATTCCAGAATTCCAGCCTTAAGAGTCAACTATGCAAAAACCTGTGCTCACAAGAACCCCAGTGTTTCAGGGGAGGAAGGGAAGGAATATGAAGGAGAGACCAGCAGGAGAAACATATCCCATCAAGTTTTCAAAAACCACACCCTCCAGTGAAAAGTCCAGTCCAGGTATTTGATGCGGGAAAAGAAACCACCATGTTCAAAGGCCCTTTACCACTTAAGCTGCATGACAAACACGGTTTGGTAAGACCAGAGTTACTGTAATCTAAATATCACCAAAGGTCACGTTAACCTTCTGATGGAGACACTGCCTCGCCTGAGCAGAATGTAAAGCTTAGAAGTGCACCGCGGAACGGGGCAGCCCCTAACCCGCCCTCAGAGGGAAAGGATTCGCACAATCCCCCTTCCCTCAGTGTTAAACGGGGGCCTCTGCAAAATCCACACAGCCTGTACGGCAGCAAGCGCTGCAGTGGAGCGCCCCCGGCTCTGATCGGGGCGGGGGGAATCCACTTTCCCCAGCGGCCGGCAGGGCTGGAGTACAGACAGCCTCACGCTCCAAGCCGCTTTCAGCCGTCTCCAACGGCCGGTGGGTCTCCAGCCTGGGGGCGGCGGGAGGAGAGAGTGGGTGAAAGAGAAGAGCAATGGGGCACATCTCTTCTGAGCCACGCTGGGGCGGCTCAACTGAAGGCCAGGCGGTGCGTGCTCTTCTCCCGCCGGGAAAGCCACCTCTGCTGCTAGATCAAGAGCGCCCCCAGCGGCAGCAGGCGAGCTGAGCGGAGACTAGGACGAGCCCCAAAGCACTTCCACTCCTCTTGCCAACAGTATTTTTTAAGAAAAACAAAACCATGACAAAGCTACACCCCACCTCCCCAGCCACCAACTGACAGATGTTGCAGTTTGGACCTGCCTAACCAAAATGCCACCACCAGATGCAGCCCAAGAGAAACCACCAGGCTCCGGAGCAGGTGTGCCGGCAGCCCAAGGCCCTCTCACGGGGAGAATCCCAGCATCTTGACTCTGCTCTTACCTTCTGCCACCTCGCCAGGAAGAGTGAAGCCAGAAACGCGATGCTCGAAGGACAACTGCCTTGAGGTCAACTATTGCTCTGAACGTGGAGACCGGACAAGAATATCAAAAGAAAGTTCTTACATTGCCAAGTGTCTTTGGAGGTCAGGAGATGGAGAGCGGTGGTGCAGGCCAGCTGGGTGGGAAGATATTCCTATTGATGTTTCGCTGCTGGCATCTCGAGGTGACAAGAAACTCTTCCCCGTGCCCCTCCCAAGCCCACAGACAGAGACCCAAATGGGCATCAAGTTTAGACAGAGCAGCTAACAGGGACTTTGACAGGAGGGTTAGGTATCCTTTACTGCAAATTATTATTATTTCAGGTTTTAATCACCCCCTTTTTTCCTTAAGAGAAGTCAAGTCACTGGTATCAAAGTCAGGTACTTTTTTCTCCTGGATTTTTTCTTTTTAATTCTTCAAATCTCCATTCCTGACTTGGGGGTTTCTGAAAGACAGCTGCCTGCAAACATGAAATGTTTTTATGTCGCCAAGAGGAAAGCGTGAACGCCCCTGTGGGGACACTCGGCTCGTAGGAGCCACCCAGTGTGGCCAGAAACTGGCAGAAATCAAGGCAGACCGCCCCTGGCATCAGGGCTCAGAAGAGGGGGAAGTAAAACAGAAAGGGGGCAGGGGAAGGGAAGGGTTATTTTAAAGAAGAATGAAACAACCATTCAAGTTACTTTAGAAACTCAGCTGCCTAAAGATGTCAGACTAACCGGCCTGCCCTCTTGAAAAACAGGAGGATGTTTTATCAAGTTTGCACAGAAATCTAAAGGAAGGAGTGTGTTTCTAGCAAAGGTGTGCTTCTCACCCACATTCCTTTCCACAGAGCTTTTTATATACATATTAATATAGAGATATCGATATATGTATAAAAAGCACTTTTTATTTCCCAGGGCATTCCGAATGAGGTCCACAGTGGATTCTGGGTTTGGAACAGTGTTTGCATGTGGCGGGGACGCGTTCTGGAAGGATGCCGTTCCCTCCCCAACCCCCATCCTAGTTTTAAAGCATGTTGGACTTCAAGAACATGAGCTTGTTCATATCCTCAGGACTCAGCAGTCGCCGCCTCTTAATCAAGAGGGCTTGTTCGCACATGTTGACGCAGTTGCTTCTGGCCCCCACGGCTGGCACCGCGAGGAGCCAGAAGGCCAGCCGGGCCAGCTTGGTGTGCTTCTGCGTCACGCAGGACCAGTACTGGAAGAGGTCGGGGGGGGCCTGGAAAAGGGGTTCTTGCAAGTAGTCATAGACCTCGCTTTTGCCCGACCGATCTTCCTCCCGAGTCGGCGAACTCTCGCTTGAGGTCCGGGATTTTTTGGAGGAAGGTTCAAACTCGGGGTCCTCGGCCCAAGATTCCTTCACCTCGTGGATCAGCTCACACACCTTGCCAATGATCTCCTCGTGCTGGTAAGGTGGGACTGGGCGCAGTTTCTGCTGAGGGTCCAGAATCATGGCCACCTTGTGCGCCGAGTGGACCTTGAAGTTCTCTTTCAGGGCTTCCAGGAACAGGTGGCACAGCTTGCTGACAATGCCTGCGTCGTTGGCCTTTGAGGTGAAGAGTTTCTCCAGTTTCACGTAGGTGGGCAGCACCAGCTGCAACGTGGGCCGGCTCTCGTTGCTCAGTTCAATGACGGCCTGCTTCACCGGAGCCAAGATGGCCGCTAGGTTGCTCAGCAGGTGCTTGTTGAGGTTCTGGATAAGGTTCAGTTTCTTGGCCCGGCTATAAAATTCGCAGATCTGCTCGTAGCGTTCGTGGACAAGCAGCAGAGAGTCTGTGATGGAGTTCCAGCAGGGGGGAGGTGAGGTCTCCTCCAGGGAGCCAAAGGTCTCCTTGGAGATTCCTGCTGAGCCTGCCAGGTCCTCACAGACATTCAGCAGCTCTATGACCTCGTGCATGTTGCGTGCTTGGAGGGTGCGCTTGTTAAGCACGCTCTGCACCACTGAGGTCAAGGCACATGCAGAGCAGCGCAAACACATGCCTGCCTTGGAAAACGCGGAGGAGTTCACTTTGCAGTCTGTGACGTACACGGTCCGGATCTCAGACATAACAAACTCGGAAAGCACGTTCTGCACCCAGTGGTGGACCAAGTCCCCGTTATCGCGAATGTCCACCCCCTTGATCCCCAGGACATAACTCTTGATGCTGCTGCCTTCCGCCTGGTACGCAGTCAGAATGTAGCAGGAATCGGGGCCAACGCTCTGCGAGTGACAGGTAACGCCAATGCCCAAGCAGGCATTGCTGCCAAGAGCGCAAGTAACCTTCACTTTCACCTGGTTGTACATCCGGGGCAAATGCTTGAGGGCTAGCGTGTTGAAGTTGCCGAGGATCTCCGTAACAGAGAAGGCGCCATAGCGGGCACCGTTGTCCACGAGAGTTTGCGCCAGCTTAATGAACTCTTTGCCGCTCACCACGCTCAACGTCCCCAGATCAGCACACATCACCCTCAGCAGCCTCTCTGCTATGTTCTGCCGCTCCTTCTCGGGGATTGGGCTGTTCAGGAGGGAACTGCCAGCTGACGCTGCAGACAAGAAAGGAAAAACGGTTGCAACAGACTGCAAATCAATTAAAATTATCTGCCAATAAAAACTATAGAAGATACTTTTTAAAAAAGAGCAACATGCACTGGTGACTAGAGTGCACACTCATTCCATCCCTCTGGCATGAAGAAAATGCAAGTATTCCGTTGCAGAGGATGTAGTTGTCATTCCAATAAGCCCCCGCACCTATTAAAAATATTCTGATAAAGAATTGGGGTTCTTTGACAGGCAAGGAAGAGCAAGTACTGATTTTTTTAATCATCTTCTTCCTCCTTCTAGAACATTAGGACACCACTGCTGTTTCCCAAACCCAGGCTGTTTCATCGTTGCCATCCCCCACAAGAAGCTAAGGAAAAAATGGCACGACTGCCCACCCGCAAGGGCACCAACTGGCCAATTTGGGCAATGGGGAGGATGACTGGAGATAAATCTGTTTGGTCTTGCATTCTAACCCTCGGGGCGAGGAGCACGGGGCAAAATATTTTGCATAAAGAAGGGAGTCTGCGCTCCCTTTAGTCTTTCAAAGAGAGATGGGGAGCCTGTATCCTCCGGATGCCGGTAGCCCCAGCTGGCCTATACAGCGGAGAAGGGAAGCCAGGAGCCTTGGTCTGGGAGGCTAAGCAGGGAACCAGTCCACGAGAATCAAGATTCCTTAGGATACAGTATGATGCTACTCAGGGCACCCCAGAAACCAGCTTGTCCATTTCCTCCTACTCCACTGGTTCTCCGGAGCTGGCTCTCCGGATGGTACGTACTGTTGTTGGAGTTATTCCTCTGTGACTGTGGCTTCCACTTCTCTTCCACCACAGCTGGAGGTGACCTGGGCTGGTTTGAGGCAATGTTGTTTTCATTGTCAGCTGAGGGGCAAAATACAGAGGAGAGGAAGTTACTGCTCACACAGACGTATCGCTATCTTAGCCTCGTGGCAGCAGGAAGGGGAGCAGCAATTCAGCTCAGGCGCCCCAACTCACAGAATTCCAAACACCTCCCCAAAGTCACGAAAGCCAACAGCAGTCAGCGCCCTACGCTTCCCTCGACTACCAGAACTCAACCGCTGGAAGCTGCCTTTAATCAGGGCCACCCCGTGTCTCGACTGAGTGAAATTACAGCCGCACAGAGACAGATGTTCCCATACTCCCTATCAAAGGGAGAAATCCAAGGGCGAAGCGGGGCCCCTGGGAAGGAAACGCAGGTCTTAGCACAAATCTGTAATAGAGGAGTGCACCACGTGCCATGTTTTCCAATAGCGGCGGCTTTCTTATTTTTGCTTCCTTTCCTTGAAATCTGAGTTTTCCACAGCAGCAACACACCTGCAGCAGCTGCACCTGAACCACACAGCTAGTGAAAACCTACTCAACTGTCTTGAGAGATGCAGATGCATTTGAAGGGAGACCGAAATCCTTTCACCATCACCACCATCCTACTCAATCGCATACAGATCAGAGCTTTACTTTCAATGCCACATATCAACCCCCCAGGAAGAGAGAGGACCAGTCCCTCTCGACGGCCGTTTGCTTCCTTTAGAAGCAGCCTTGCTGAAGGCCTGGGGGACACGGCTTGCCCGTCATCGTTCCCCGCCGTGATCTCTCGGTACCCCAAGGGAGCCTTGGGCTTTTTTCTACATGTTTTCTTCAAAGATGTAAAACTCAGCCTGAAATTGCCTTGTGCTTTCCCAGTCATGGCAACATTTAAATCCAGCCTTTACCATTCGTTTTTGAAGTCAAAGGGGGAAAGTAAGCAGAGGACGCAATGAGGCCTCTAGAGAGGCACTTGCTACTTCGAGTTTCAATTCTCACACCACCTTCAAGCATGCGGCTAAAATGGTGCCTTGACGTCTTCCAGGGTTGCCCTGCCTTTGACACGGCACTTTCCCCAACAAGAGCTACTTAACCTTCTCTGCCAGCTAGCAGTCGTTCAGCCTGAACTTCCCTCCCATCGTCCTCCCATCTTGCTTGAACATTTCCAAGAAACAGTCAGGATCATCTGTTTTATCAAATTTTCACTATGCCCGCCCACCAAGAGTTGGAGCTTCTGACAGGTTACTAAAGGTTTCTATCTCAGCCTTAATGCGTCTGTTGGCCAACGCTCACTGTTGGAAGAGAGGATAACTGCTTGGACACTGTCCTTAGTTACAGAAAGGGGAAACACGCATTTTGAGAGAAGAGAGACAAACTTTAACACAGACCATTCCACCAAACTGCAGAGACCATTCACCTCCAGTAAGAGATTTCCTACAGGTTTTGGTGCTCCTCCCTGAAGTATCTTACAGATGTCTTAACCTGTCCCCTGGAATGAGAATTAGAGCAACCGAGAGACTTACCTGCGTGGGACTGCATATGTTCAAGGAGATTGTTGTAGAATTGGAACTGGATGCCGCAGGCCCCACAGGTGTATGGCTCTAAAAGGAGGAGGCCGAGAGAGAGCGTTAGAGGACTTGGCTGCCTTGGAACTGAGCTGCAGCCCGCTATATGCAGGGTAACAGTGGTGCAGTTTTGATCTCTAAGCCGTTTAGGAACAAAATTAATACTAATTAATTAAAGACCTGTCCTCCAGGTCTTCAAGATACAGCTCCCACAGCCTAGCCCTGGCCACTGCCCAGGATGACTAGGACTTGCGAGAGTTGTAGTCTAAAACATGTGGAACGTGCCCACTCAGCACATATAGGAGCCTCACACAGGGGAGAGAGAAGCGTGCGTGCCAAAGAGCGTGAGACCAATCCCATCCTCCCTGGTCCTTAACTGTTAGCAGAGTAAGAGGGGAAGAAGCCTGCCTCGTACCCACAGCACCTCTTCAGCTTCCTTCTGTTCCCGCCTCACAAACTGCCCGAGAACCGAGAAACGCACTCCTCGGTGGTCTCTTCCAGGAGCCACACTGAATCAGACCAAAAGCCCACTGAGCGCAGCACTTACACAACTCAGGCAGTGGGACCTGATGCTGCCCCCCAACCAGCACACAGTCCCGAGGCAGTTCACTCAGTTGTGGCCAGATGCCTGCTCCTCCATGCGCGGCCGAACCTTCCTTTGAGACCACCCAGAGCTCTGGCTACCTCGGCACTGAGAGCAGTCAGCTCATTCATCTGCAGTTGTGTACGTTCCTGTTTTATCCCCATTTTTTACCCACGTGCTTCTTCCTGGGCCAGTCTTCTGTTACCAGGTCAGTATTAGAATAGTTTTGCCATTCTGCAAAAGGCCGTGCATGCTGATGAGCCCACAGTAATAATAAGAGGAGAGAACTCACTGGTGTTTAATATGGTTTCTGCGTGTTGGGTCAAATAATCAATTTGCAAACATAATAGTCACTCAAATCTTGAGTCTTTGTGTCCTTTTGTTAATTCTGGTTTTTGATTTTTAATGTTTGTTGGTCCACATTCATTCAAAAGAAGTAAGAAAGCATACAGAGCAATGACTTGCCACACCCTGATGCTGGTTTTCAGATAAGGCAATTTTTAAGAGCTTCGGCCCCAGGAGAAAGCCATGTTTGCTCTCAAAGGGCCAAAGCAAGGGACCTCTGGCTTATCACACACCACTTCTTGGCACCCGAAAGGGGCAGCTGAGGCGAGAAGGAAAGCCACCTGACACGAGAAGGGCGCTCTTCATTACTATCGCCTCGAGCTCTGTGCAGTGCAGCTGGCGGGCCCCAAAAGGCCATGCCATCACGAGGCCAAGTTCTGGGAGCCAAAGACCAAAAACTAACAGACATCAAGACTTCAGCTCCAGCAGCATTCAGATGCCAGCGGTGCAGATCAAGGACGATGAACTGGAATACAAAACAGCTCTCAGCAGGGTCCAGCCCCAGACTCAGTACAGATGCAACAAGTTAACAATGACTGGATTACAAAATTCACTTAGACCCATCAGCGCAGCAACAACTGCACTCAGAATAGGAGCTCAAAATGAATTTTTTACAGTCTGGCAACTGGAGAACAAGAAAATTCAACAGGCATCAATATAAAGCATTAAGCAGAGGGGTAAAAAACCTAAAATGCCCAGCACAAGACTGTAGTAATTAGACTATCATTCACAGTACTGAAAATATTTAGGACAACGACTGTACTTAAGATAAAATGCAAAGACTTAGCACTAAAAGACCAACGCCAGGCTATATTAAGGGGAACTACCGTATCTAGGGTTAAGACTGGCAGCATCTAAATCTAGTCAACGATTTTAAGTCCTCCTGTGGTGGAACAGGACAAGCCCAGAGTGGAGACTGTGGGAAGCCAAAAGCCTGGTGTGCCTGTCAGCACAGAGCAGAGCACCAAGAAGACACTCCTACCAAACCACCTTGCAAATCCCCCGAAATCTACCTCGCGCCCAGACCTTACGTCCATCTATGACCGCCGTCCAGCTGCGTAAGACTGCCGGAGGTTACAGTTGTGCAAGCAAGACGGGAGCGTGCCTCTGAGGACGCCCCTGCCCCAGCTAAAACTTCGGCCCTTGCTTTTGTGTTTTGTCTCCATTCTGAGGGGGGAGGTGGTTACGGGACCACTGGAGAGCGGCCATAAAAAAGGGGCACCACAGCTGCAGAGCGGGCAAGCTTTCGGAAAGCAGAGCTCAGCCCGCCTCCTGGGGGGCCGACGTGGCCAAAGGGCAAGGGCTCCTTCCCCAATCCACAGCTAGTCCAAAGTACACCACCGACCTGGGTAACCTGGTTGCTGACGGGTACAGCTCGCCCCAGGACCTCAGCACCTCCTGCAGACTAGCATGGCTTCCTTCATACGGCTGCCCCAACCGCCCCCGTGAAAGGCCGGCCCATGCCAAGCGCAGACGCCGGGGCCAACGCGTGAGCGCACCGGCCTCTTGGGAAACGGCCCCACTGCTCAACTGCTGCTTCTGAGAGATGGGGGGCCTGCCCTAGAAGCCCGTGGCTAAACGGGAAGGGGCAGGGCTGACGAGACCGACCCCGAGAAAGATCTCCGTCCGCTTTAGGCCACTGACACTAACCGAGCGTTTGAGCTGAATCAGTGACTGAAGCTGAAGCAAAGGGAATGGCAAAAGGCTTCTGTGTGTGTGGGCGGGGAAGGGCGTGATTTAAGAGGGGCCGGGCGCACGCACCCCCTGGACACGGCAGCGTGGACGTCCGTCGCACTTACTTTGCCAAAGCGGTAAAGGATTTGAAACCAGAGGACTGGCGGTTTCTGCAAAAAAGAAAGAGATGCAGACATTGAAACCAAGGCGAGCCCCTCCCCTCCCCCCCTTCTGGAAGCCGGTTGGTTTCTCATTTCTCATTTGGGGACTGAGGCAAAGCCTGCAATGCGGGACGGGGCAGCACAAGGCACTGAGAAGGGGGCGGCTGCCAGTTTGGCTGAGGGTTATCGGGGTCGGGCTTAGCGGTGCTCCTAGACTGGCTGCCAGCGTCTTGGCGCTAGAGAGGCTGTTCTAACTGCTCCGGAAAGGGCACAGATCTGGCCAATCGGCAGGTGAAAGGCGGGGGCTGCGGCAGCACCCCTAACAGCAGAAGGGGGTCCCCTCAGCCGCTCAATTTGCCCCACCCCCTTTCAGGCATAGGAGTACTTCTTATTCTCTCAAGAGCGCACCACCAGGGAGTGGCAAAAGACGCTGGTCTGAACCGATTCCTGTCCACCTCAGGGGCTATGCCTCCTTAGTGACCCCAGCTCCTCGCTTTCCTGGATTCACCCACCCATTCGCCGCCATCATTCAGTGCATGGATTCTAGAGAGCGCGGGGGGGAGAGGGGCTGCCCTTGGGCCCCCTCTTCTCCTACTTTCCTTCAGCACTTCAAGGAGACACACACTTTCTCTTCCTTCTCCTCCCACGGTAATGGCTCTGTGGGGCGGGCTGGGCTGCCAGTTCCAAGTCACCCCATGAGTAATGCAAGCGCTATGCCGAGGACCTAAGAGCAACAGGCCCCCAAACCGCCAAGTAACCGCGCAGTCTAGGAAGTGGCTGATTTTAAGACCTCTGCTGATAATACGCCATCCGTAAAGCAATCTTTGACAAGCACGTACAAAAACCCCAGCCGGGCCACCTAGGTCTGCCAAGTCCGAAGACCCTGGGAAAGCTGCCTCATTCCTACATCCGCCCAACCGTTTGGGAAAATGGAAGCAATGCGTTACAACAGGGTTACTCCGAAGTCTTCTCTAGGGCAGCTGGGGAACAGGAAGCAGCTTTGCGGCTGGCAACTAAGCGTGCTTCTGCAGCAGCGGGCTTCCGAGGACACGTCCCGAAGAAAAAACTGCCGCGGGCTTCCCAAAAAATCACCCTGACCGCCGGATGGATGCAGCGTCTCTGATCTCTCCAGAGCAGCCAACCTCTCCCCCGTCCTCCGATGATCAGGTGCTCTTTTAAAGACACCTAAGCCAACTGCCACGCCCCACCTCTCGGGCCGGCAAATTCCACAACCGAGTTACACATTCGCCATGAAGAAACGCGGCCTCCTTCTTACCGAGCCACGCGAACCGTTGCCAACTGTCTTTTGCTTAATGCTATGACAGTATCATTACTACTGTGGAGAGCAACAAAGCTGGCGAGAAGACTCCCCCATGCCTGAAGATCTCCAGTAGCCAAGCCAAGAGACTCTTCTGCATTTGAAGAGGCTTCTTGTAACGTGGAGGACTTCAAAACCGAACAGAACAGATGGATGGCGTATATCGAGCTCCACTAAGTCCCCATTTGAATCTGCATTCCAGAAAGGAGCGTCAGAGCGTCACCTTCCTGTCCCCCATGGTCACATAAGAAGCGTCCATTTGTCCATCGCCAGCAACAAAGGTTCTCCTTTGTACTGCAGACATCCCACTCGAAAGCAGCACACATCCAGCTCAGCCTTATCTGTTGCAGCTGCTCTTTCCTGACACACCGAGGATGAGAGGCAAAGGGGACACCCGGGTCTCTCTGGGGCCGATTCAGGAATGGAGTTTGCCGCACTCAAAGCTTCCGTCCATGAAGACACAAGCGGCAGCAAGGATCACAAGGTAATCAGGCTTCCACGGCGCGTAACAGGGAGGGTGTGCGCCGACTCTGTGCCCTTTAACCAAATACACCAGGCACAAAGAGAGACCACGTGATGATGGAAGCTGAGCGCTGTGCCGTAGGAACTTTTGAAAAAGCACGGGCAAGCCGTACAAGCCAAAGGAGAAACTGAAAAGCTACTGCTGTGGTGATCAAAGGAGAACTGAGAAATGGCGGGGAGTGCCCACGCTTGGGGTGCTGTGGAATGGGGCAGGGCTTCCACCAAACTTTAGACTTTGGGACGTTACTGGGGACCAACCTGTGCATCATAGAGATTACGATGAAGAATTCTGGACTTTCCCCGTTCTCCATTTCCCTTCAGCTTCACCCCCTCCCTGACAAAGGAGCATCAGGGTTTCTTGCTGCCACCTTTCCTCCTTCCCCAAGTCATAAACGGGGGTTGCCTGTGCCTAGAGCGAGGCACAATACCCACACCAGGCAGAGAAGCCATCCTTTAAAAGTCTTCCTCACCTCCATCTGGATTTTTGCAGTTCACGAGGCACTGCTCACTTACTTTATGATTTCTTGTTTTTAAAAAAGAGATGATCCAGATGTACAATACCAAGACAAGAAATACAGATGTTACTCAGGCACCTGCCACGTGCATAATCAAGTTTGTGTAGACATACTTCAAAGAAAAAAGGTTAATTTAATGCATTTCAGTTCTAGCTTGTATTACAGCTGCTTTTGCAGAAATCACCTGGAACTCAAAAAAGACTTCCACGTAAGGAAGCCAAGATGCTTTTTATTTCCCAGGGAATTTAAATCCAGGCTTGCAGCATTTAGTTAAGGGTTTTCTTGAAGAAAACAATCAAGCTCAGAGAACCCCAAGGACTCCACAGACCCAGGATTACAGAACATCTCAAAATGCAGGTGAGGCTTCACCCTTGGATGCCGAAGAGAGAGTATTTTCTGCGATACTGGCATCACCATTTTGCCAAGAAAGTGGAGGCTTGAGACGTTTCAGTAAAAGAGAGTTTCTCTCTGCAACTCTCATGCTTTTGACAGAATACTTTCTCAGACTATGTACCATCTAAAAACAAGGAAACTCTGATTTGATGATCAATAGGCTTATTTTATTGATTGGAAAGTATAACTAGATTAATTAATTAAAAAGATCAGGATTCCTTTTAGCAAGACCAGATCAGACTTCACATCATTTCAAGCACTGCTGCTTACCATCAGTCCCTTCCAAATTGATCGGAACGGTTTACTATGAAAGAACTGGCTTTGCTCTAATGGATGAAGATAAACTGCAGGACCACCCTCTCTCCTCTCCCTCACAAGAAGATGCCATTTTCTCTTCCCCCTTCAACGACAGGCAACAGAGTCCAAACGAAAGCTTCTACCAGTCTTCCCTCCTCTTTCCCAACTGGCTTCTCCCCAATTAGCTGAGGTGTGCTGGGGGTGAAGGGGGTTCTCTCAAATAGGCAGCTGAGCAGAACATGCACAGGTTACCACTAGCAGCAAGTTGACCCACCAGCCCCATACCACACGGTCCCACTGGCGTATGGGATCTGCAGAGAGAGAGCAGGTGTGAGCGACATCCTGAAAAGCAGCACGGCTTCTGCTTCCTGGCCACACGCAACGCAGCCTCTCTCTGGCCTTAGACAGGACCTCTCCAGCTAGAGAGACCGTGTTCTGATTCAGCAGGCAAAACCTCTGCATCTTGAGGCAGATCCACAAGGTACGAAAAAGGCTCCCTCGCAACAGGCCTTACACACCCTCCCACTGGGCCTTTTCCTACAGCACCTGCCCTCCGGAATGAGGTTCTCCTCAAGATCTGGACGACCGCCACTCTGCTGTTTTTTAGAAGAGCCGCAAAGACCTGGCTCTTCACCCAGGCCTTCGGCAGAGGAGATTAAGACCCCTCGCGTCATAGCGCTTGCCATCTTTTACCTTTATTTTTTATTGAGATGTCTTTGATTGTTATGAGCCACCCAGCATCACAGAGAGCTGGGCAGCATACAAGGTTAATAAATTCTTCTTCTTCTTCTACGGACCTGCCCAGTTGGCCAGATCAAGAAAAAAAGCCCTTGACGCCAACTGATGGGGCAACTGCAAGGAACACCAAGGAACCAGGAATGTCCCTCCTTGTCCAGCTGTTTCTCTGAGTCCCCTTTAAGCCCAGATCCAGATCCTCCTCTTTGCTCATCCTTGGGGAAAAGGGGACATTTGCAACATTGCAGGGGAAATGCAGGTACTTACCACTAGAGTTTTGGGAGCTGCTGTTAGTTTCTTCAAAGTTGTTTTGCATTTTGCTTTCCACTCTCCGACTGAAAGCGCTTTCTGCTGGGTGGGAGAATAAGGAAAGACACAAAGGGACTGGTGAGTGTTGATCCCAGGCAGTCACATTGGGTGGGGAGCAGGAAAAGAGAAGAATATTTTCTCTCAGGCTGTTTAAAACACCCTGAAATCTGGCTTCCTGGGAAACGGGACCAGAGTCTTTACCAGGCTGTAAGCAGCTGGAAGATTCTGCTAAAGACATTGCCAAACATCAGAATCAGGTGGCAGAGGCCTGCTTTGGTAAAGTGTACCAATTTCAGATGCAAGTGACAGAGGAATATCATTTTTAAACAACTTGCAACGTTTCTGTGTAATTTTACTGAAAATAGAAGAGTAGTAGAGCAGTACATAAAGGTTCTAACTCATTCCATTCTCTCCGACTACTTTTCTACTTGAACCACCCGGTCATCAGAATCACTGTGGGCCACTACCGTACCTGCTTTGCCTTCACCCGTGATACAGCCCATCTAAGCAACCCCAGATTGCTTATGTCATTATGCGGTGTGCAGATGCACCGCCTGAGCAGTACAGCTCCATGGGCTCCGGAGAGGAGTTGAGATCATCCCATCCTGCAGCCTGGGCTTAATTGCAAATCAATGTTATGCTCCATTTGTTTATTGTCTTTCTGTTTTTTTCAGTTTGCCACAAGTCCAGGTGACTCTCATTACTGAGAAGATTAAAATATAATAAAAAATAAAAGTATATAAATATTATTAAGATTTTGAATGCTCTCTCAGTCCTGAGGAAGAAACAATGAATCATGGTTTGATGCAATTGGTAATCATGTCCCAGTCACAAAACCAGGCCATAAGCTATCTCCCCTCTCACCCCCACCCCCCAAGATAAGTACAACTTTCTGAAGACATCTGGCTCACTCTTAGCTGGACACATAAGGAATCTTTCAAATAATTTGAGTATCTTAACCAGTGTCTTCACCATCCTTACGCAATCATTCCCTGCTATCCCTCGCTAAGAACGTGGATTTAGCCATCTCCTGAGATGCAGGAAGGGCCATCGAAGATGGAAACTGCGCTTTCGAGAACTCGGTCCAAATAACCTGCCTCTGGAAGGTCCACAAACAATCCAAGAATTGCTGTGACATCATCACGCCCAGATTTTTCCTCACATAGCGATTTTCCACAGATGGGGAGGTGCCGTATTAAGAGCAAAGAGTCTCACAGAGTCTTTAAGGTCATGTGTTAAAAGGCCCAAATCGGCGATGACTCTCTGATGCCAAAAGGAGCTATTTTTTTTTAAAAAAGGCAATTGTGAAATCTAGCAAGCAAAGGTAATTATCACAGACCTGAATGTTCTTAAAAGCAAGTAGACTGTTCTTAAAATAGTTGAGCGAGGCTTCTGGAATGGCCAAACAGACAGAGTAGGAATCCCAAAGTGCTTTTTTCACCACCACTTCCCAAGGCAACACGGGACAGGCAACACCCATTTCAGTCCTCCCAGGCACGCATGTGAGACCGCAGGCACAAGTGAGACGGGCCCCGTAGGAGATGCTGCCCAGGATTCACCCTCTTCCTCCAAAACCTAGGCTTATATCCCAATGCCACATAATGTTGTGAGGCGCACGATAACACACTGGCTCACTCCCACGCTCAGCTTTCGGCACTGGAAGGCCACAGTCACAAGGTGCAGCAGGTGACATCCCTCTTTACTGCTTCGGTCAGGAGAGATCCTTCATAATTAAGGCACCAGATGCTCAAAAAAAATCAGGGCTCCTTTCGTGTAATTACTGTTATGTCCAGACACCCACCACCACCCTCCACTGTACAATTCTCGCCCCCACCGCCATTGCCTCCTTCTCTCCCATTCTCAGGGAAACACAGCAGTCCTCACACCAAGCCTGCTGCCTCCTTAGGTTTTTCCAAGACTCTCTCCCACGACAGCAGCCCCGCCTCCCTACAGAAGACCAAGGGCTTCCAGAAAATGCCTGGTTAGCCAACTGAGAGGCCCGCCACGATTCAGTCCAGCAGCGCAGCGCAGCGCAGGACCTCTTGAAAGCATCTCCCAGCCAGGGCTCAGCTCGGCTGAAGGGCAGCACCGCTGACAAAACCGCCGCCACTTGCTGCAGAGAAAGGGACCGTCCGTCAAGAGTTCAGACCCCTGACCCCTTCCGAAAGCAGTCGCTAATGCTGGCAGAAATTCTGACAGTTCAATCCCAGCACGCTGAAAGAGGCCCGGGTGGGAAAAGGGTCTCACCATTCTCTCTCTTATCAGGCAAGGAAGGAGAAGGCTTCGAATCAAAGATGCGGTGACGACTCGTTGTGCTACAAAGAAATGACTCTCCCGCCATCTTTTTCTGCTCCATCCACCACATGAACGCGCACAGATCCCCAAAAACTTTGCTTGCTCATCCTGGCCCAGTCACTGAAGGAGCAATTAAAAAGATGTCTCCCCCCTCAGAAAAGAAAAAGATGGGAAAAGGCCTTTCCCAGCCCCCAACTAAAGTGGCAAGTAGCACCATTCAGACAAGAAAGAAGAGGATCAAATGATCAACCAAACCCTGTCCTCTCTTCCTTCATCTACCATTCTACCCATCCTGAAAAAGAACATACGGTAGGCACTGCGCTCTACTACCCTCTTAATTCCACCAATTTTGGATTGGTCTGGAAACTTTCTCGGGAAGAGTTCTGTGGGACGCGGAGGGTCAAAATGCTTTTGAAATAATATTAAATACAAGGACATTGTGCCTATTTTTTCCCTGAACAGGTAAACAAAAAGGCCCAGTAAAAAATTATATACATATAAAAATTTCCATAATCTTTGATTTCAGATATATGTATACACACA